TATTTCTAATGTTAGTCTTTCAGAAGAACAAGAGAGAATTCTAAAATATAATTTTAACTTCTCACAAACCTGTAAACCCTCGATTCCAAAGATTTTGGCTCCTATCGAAAAAGCTTTCAAGTTCAGTAAAGTTTCAGATTCACAGAAAGAAATGATTAGGCATCTTATCGCTCATAATGTGAAATTCAATAATAAACCTTTGAAACCAAATCTAACTGCGAGAGAAAGAGCTACAATGCGCGAAATTCATTCTAACCCGGATATTGTCATTTCAAAGGCCGACAAAGGTGGCCAGATAGTCGTCATGGATAAGAACACTTAACATCGATGGTGTCACTAAACTCTTAAACGAAGGACCATATAATCCGATCCCTAAAGATCCTTCACCTTCGGACTTATCCAAAATAAAAACTGCGATCAAATCTTCGCAAATCATTTCAAGCAACTTAAAACATTCGCTTATCCCATCTGTTGCGAATTGTGCCAGATTATATGCTCTTCCCAAAATTCATAAAAGTGGTATTCCTTTCCGCCCTATTGTATCAAATTTAGGTACTGCCTCGTATCCATTAGCTAAATATTTAGTTTCTAGATTTTCCACTCTATTAGACAATAACATTTACACCATAAAAAATTCAATAGAGTTTGTAAAAAAGGTTAAAAACATTTCTCCTAGTAATTTACTCATGGTTTCTTTTGATGTAAAATCATTATTCACCAATGTCCCAGTGGAGGGTGCATTAAGATGTCTAGAAACCAGACTTCGCGAATTTCATTTCTCTTGCATTGCATCGAAATTGATGAGCTAATTTCTCTCACTCAACTCTGTTTGAAACAAACACATTTTGTTTTCCAAAATAAATATTACAAGCAAACTGAGGGATTAGCCATGGGAAGCCCCCTCAGTCCCATCCTGGCTGATATCTACATGCATTATTATGAATCAAAATTGTTTGAAACTTTAAACTTCCCGGCATGGTTCCGCTACGTAGACGATACTTTTACCCTGTTTGAAGGTAATAAAGATGATTTAAATAAAGTTCTTTCAACAATGAATTCTATTGATCCTGCTATTCAGTTCACTTTTGAACTTGAGACTTGCAATTCTCTTCCGTTTCTCGACATTCTGGTCACACGTAACACATCCAACTTCAGTACTACAGTTTACCGTAAACCTTCATCGGTTTGCCTTCCACCACACTTTAAATCATGTCATCCGACTAAACAAAAGTTAGCTTCATTTTATTCCTATGTTTTCCGTGCTCTTCAAGTTTGCTCCTCCAAACTAGCCCTTGATGAAGAACTAAATTATTTAAAAGCAATAGCTATTGACAGGGGCTTTTCACCCAACATTATTAATCAAGCAGTTAAAAAATTCTCATCTCAACACACTAAAAGCCACACTCTTATTTTAGGAGATTATAAAAATTCTGTTGTCATTCCCTTCTTTCCATCAATTAGCTATAAAGTTGCACATATTTTGCAGAAATTTAACTTTCGGGTTGTTTACTCTCTCCCATCAATAAAATTCCAACTTCTATACTCAAGGACCCCATTCCGGATATGAATTCCTGGGGTATTTATAGGATTCCTTGCCAGTGTGGTTTAATTTACATTGGCCAAACTAAGAGAGCCTTAAAATTTCGCGTCAAGGAACATGAGGCATATGTTAGAAAAAAGGAAACACAGAAGTCTTCTGTTGCTCAACATTGTTGGTCCGAAAATCACACTTTCAATTTTTCTGCTGCCAAAATTATTCAAAAAAACATCTTCCATTGGAGAACTGGATTTTCTAGAGGCATTTCACATTCATAAAAATCTTTCTGTTCTAGTTAACGATCCTAATTCCAATCCAAATTTGCCTTTGGCCTTTAAAGAAATTATGTTTTAGTTCTGGTTTCACCAACAGATGGTGCCACTTGCTTATTCTTGTCCAGGCTTTCTTATCTTATCTAATCATTATTTCCTATCTTGTTCATTTGCGGTTTTGCAGCTGAGGATGGTGGTTCGGTAAAACCATCGAAAGTCCTGTGAAAACTCTGTAAATATAACGCTGATTTTTGTTGTTTGATTTCTGAATTAGTATTTATTTGGCGTGTTACTGTGTCTTAATTAAAGTGGATGTTAAACAGAGAAATTTAAATGCAAACTACAACATAAAATGGAATATTTACAATGAAGCTGCAAATATGTAAATGCTCAAATAAACAGTAGCACTTGTAGATTTTGGAGGTAACAATGATAAATTGGCTCCATTGGAAATCTTAATCGCATTTTCGCATTTAATATGACAAACTGTCATTTTACCTGCATGGAAAATAGATGATGTCTTTTCTATGTTACTTTTATAAATTCAATTATTCATGATAAAGATACTGCTTTTTTAATTTTATATTTCATGCACTAACATGTTACCAATGATATTCATTAGTAACATGTTACCAATGATATTCATTAGTAACATGTTACTAATGATACGATGTTCATGCACTTACATGTTTCATTGTGCAAAAACTGGTGTCATATATGCTGTTCTGCTTTTCTAAGGAAAGGAATTCTACTATGCACTAGATTTTAATGAGAATAACAAGGAAATGAAGTTGTATAGTATTACATGGTGTAATATAATTAAATAATGCCTAAAAATGAAAAAGCACACATGCTAGAGACCTGTTTCATGGATGAAAAATACATTTTTTTGACTGCATTACAATTTATCTCTTGTTCATCAGAAGAAATGACATAGATCAAGTGGTTAGCGAATCAATTAAAATATCTGTAATAATATGAGCAATGATTGGAATAACTTTATGTGGGAAGTTTGCTCATAACATTTAGACAAACATGCTAACACTGTATTAGAGGACTGCATAACATTGTAAAAATTACCTTTGTACGTAGGAAAAACAATGCCAGAGGCATCTTATTCAAACAATGAATATTCAGAGGCATATGCTTGTAATTTTAAATAATTTTTATAAATTTTGGTAAACAACTCAAAAGAGTGCTTTCTGATTGAAGTTCAAAATAATGATGCCAAAACATATTTGTAAAAAAACATCCTTAGTCACGTTAAATATGGCTTAACAATTCTCCAATTGTTAGAATAATACTCAGATTCTGAGCGTTATAAAAAAAGGATAATTCTCATAAATTTTGATACAAAAATTTTATTTTGAACTATTCGTATAATTTTGTAGATCCCCAAATTTATATGCCTGCTCAACATGCAGACAAAAAGTGGGGATCATCCAAATAAAACAAGGAATAAAAGGAAATGGTCTAGCATCATTTGAGTCTGATCTTACTGCATATATGCAATGGATGTATAAGAGCTGGAAAAATTCTTATGCAGCTATTAAGGTAATAAAAAATTATTACTGCTAACAATTGCTTATGTTTAGATCGGCATTCTTTTGGAAAAGTTTGTTCCATAGATTCAGAAGTATATATATATATATATATAAATAATAGTTTAATTCAATTTCGTATACAGTCAAAAGTCTTTAATCCGATTTCGTCGGGACTTCGGCGATTCCGGATTATAGATCATCAGTTTAAATCTGGTAAGATGACATGCAGAAATTATAAAATTAAAAATATGAAACCGTAATTTATGAAATAAAGAACAACTAGGATTTAAAGGGTATCAATTTACAAAAAAAAAAAAAAAAACTTAACATTTATTTATTTACTTTATTAAACATTTCTTTCAATGTAAGTTGTTTAAGTTGCTTCATTTTTTATGTGATAATACATTCTCTTTAATTCTATAAACATACATAATTTCTTGTTCAGTTACAAAGTTCCGCTGTTCAAATCCTATAATTGCTGTGTCGAGAATACCGGCTAATTTGTCAATCGAAATTTTTTCATTTTCAATAACCTCTGTCACTTTCTTCATGTCTTTATCCATTTTTTTGCAGCAATTCCACTTTTTGTTTGATGGACATCGAAACATACTTTCGTTTTGTAGATCCTTCGGGAGCTTCAGCATCGGAAATTCTATTTGACATAATCGAAAGTTCATGTTTACTTTTATAAAATTGCTTTTACAGTCTGCAAAAAAGCTTAATATTTATTTGTTTACTTTATTAAACATTTCTTTCAATGTAAGTTGTTTAAGTTGCTTCGTTTTATGTGATAATACATTCTCTTTAATTCTATGAACAGACATAATTTCTTGTTCAGTTACAAAGTTCCGCTGTTCTAGTCCTATAATTGCTGTGTCGAGAACACCGACTAATTTGTCAATCGAAATTTTTTCGTTTTCAATAACCTCTGTGTCACTTTCTTCGCTATCGGAAGAGAATTATAATGACGAGGAATTTGATTTAAATCGCATCAAAGATGGAGTACATCGAGATGAAATACTACATTTAGTAAGGAATTATAAGCCAAATAAAATAAAAACATCTGCTCTGAAGATAAGGATAGTGCTGACAGATCAACTTCCAGTTCATTGCGCGCCGCGACGTTCCCCCCCCCCCACACACACGCAGAGCAGTGTGAAATTGATAAACAGATTTCAGAATGGTTAGATAAACAAAGGATATGCCTTTATCCATTTTTTGCAGCAATTCCACTTTTTGTTTAATGGACTTTGAAACATACTTTCGCTTTGTAGATCCTTTACATATTAGTAAATATATACCAGAAATTCTATTTGACATAATCGAAAGTTCAAGCTTACTTTTATAAAATTGCTCTAACAGTCTGCAAAAAATAATAAGCCGGATTCAATTTGAAGATTAAGGAACAATGCAATCTGCAACATTATCTGAATTAGATAATTTTAGCTTAGCTTATACTGTCCGTTATACATTAAATGTCCATTCGTAAACGTATTTTGCGCATGCGCACCTACATATTCGCAGCCGTAAAGCATGCGTCGTATAGTAAGCCATAAACGCATGCATCGTATAGTAAGTTTGTAGCTTTGAGGTCCGGATTATAGATCATTCCGGATTATGGGTGTCCGAATTAACGACTTTTGACTGTATCAATATGTAATGCTACGAAAATGAAATAATTAAATAATCATCAAAATTTAGAAAGTTACAAAAGCAAAAAGTACTATAGAAATAACTGACCAAGAGATTTACACCACCATATGGAGTCTCCCCTCGTGCTAAATAATAAGGGGTATTAGACATACTTTCCATACCACCTGCTACCATTACATTCTGAAACAAAATACAAAACAGTCAGTGACCACGAAGCATACAAATATACTATGAAGATCGGTCAAAATTCATTTTTAAAAACAAACCTGATGTCCTAACATAAGACTCTGAGTAGCAAGCATTACAGACTTCATTCCAGATGCACATACTTTGTTAACAGTGGTACAGGGTGTTGAAATTTGAAGGCCTTAAAAACATTTTATAAATTTAAAATATATAAGTATTCAGCATTAAAAAAACTGAATGATTAGAGGCATAGAAATATAAAAAGAAATATGCCTAGTTTTTTTATCAGCTGGATTTCAAATATAAACGAAAAAATATACCATTTTTTAGTTGATGATTTTTATAAAATTTTGCACATTTTAGTTTTTATATATAACTATTACAAAAAAAAATCTTGATTATAAAAATTATATTATATAACACATTTAAGACGAAAACTGAAAGATTATAACATACAGTATTATATGGTTCTTTCTTATTACCCATATATTCCTGAAAATTACTTACAAGGCCACTGTGTTGCTAAAATAGACAACCCATGATATCACCCAAATATACTTATGTAGCAAGCCAGGTAAGCTTGCACATATAGCAGATGAGTGAAGATCACCTTAACATTCAGCGGTCATTTTTCTGATTAGTATTTCTTTTTCCATGTAAGGAATCATTATACGATTGCGGAGTTTGCCAGATGATGAAAAAGAAAGTGCTGTCTTTAGAAATATGGCCTTTTGCCTGACAGTAGATTTTGTAAAAATTCACACTCTATGAAACTGTACTTCTTAAACAACTGAATTGTATGTATCAAAATTTGTATATAATGTGAATTTGTGCAATTCTTTGAATCCCTTCCTTTTTTTGTAAGGAAAACCAGATCACTGTGTAAATGAAAATAGTGCAAAACACAATGCAAAAAATATTATAGTTGATGGGAGACAAGAGGCATCATCACTCTACCACTCCACCAAGAGGTTAGACGGTATTGTCTCATGTTCCCACATACTATAAGTAACAAATAATATTCTTAATGCTTCACTGCTTACAACAGGACTTTTTTTCTTGAAAGACAATTTCTTCTTCTTGCTGAAACCCTCTTGCAAAAAGTCAAGCTTTAAAATGTTCATCCCTCTTTATTTTAAAAATTCACTTGTTGTTTAAAATGTTCTTTATGTTTTGCTTTTATTCACAGCTTTCCAAATCCTGTTTTTAATTAAAGACTTTTCCTCTTTTTCAATAGCTTTTAACCATTTGTCTCTATTTTCTCCTGATATTGCTTCTTAGTATGACAAAATTATAAAGTCTCTATACTTTGCTGGTAATTTTCTATTTCTTGTAGGCTGTTCTTAATTTTCTGCCTCTTATTCTCCATTTTCATTAGCAGCTTCTAAATGATCATCTTTCCACATGGAAATGCTTTTATCTTGATTATTTTCTAGATCTTCAGAATGAAGATCGGGGGGGGGGGGGGGGGAAAGAAGAAGAAGAAGAAAGAAAATGTCTTTTCTCCAGACTATCTCAAATGTCTTAAGGAACATGCCTGGAACATACTGACAAGAGAAGAAAAAAATTAACATCTAAATAAATCTTTATTACATAAAAAAATTCTATGAAAAAAAAAATAATAAGCAATAAAAAAGAATGAAAAATCATACAAAGTTAAAAAAATCATGAATTGAAGAACAGAAGTAATAAATATGAGATGTCCATTTGTGTGGTACATAGTTCTAAATAAAGAGTTCACTATCTACATTGAACTCCTCCATATATTCCAACTTTCCCTACTTCATAGTAGTCACATGGCTTAACACATGACTTTGTAGGGGTCTACAAATTTTACAGAGTTTCCTTCCAATTCCAAACTGAGTTCATTGCAGAGCTACTTGATCACCCACTTTATATAAGTTTGGTAGTTTATGGAGCTACATTGTAACGTCTGTTTCCTTCTTGAATTTTGAGAATGCTGTTTTTCACTATTCTGTTCATAGTGCAACCTTATTTGTTTAATTTTGATACCTTCTTCATTTTTCATTTTTATGCCGAAAAAGTAGTTCATGTGGTTTGCAACTGGTGGTTTGTGATGTAGTGCTATTGATGATTCTTTGAACAGAGGCAATGTGTTTAAACTACATTTTGAGTTCTTGTATGGAGAACTTGGTTAAGATGGGAAACCAAATACTGTGCATGTATTCAATCTGTTTGTTTCCATGCAGAATGCCAGCAGTTATTGTTATATGCTCAACATTCTTGTCATGACAATTCAGTTGAAGTAAAAGCAGCCCCTTTATCTGAGATAATAAGTCTGGAGTTACCCAAAGATTTTTGATATAATTTCAACTTCGTCAAGAGTGTTTTGCATATTTGTCTATTTAACACGTTAAAGGCAGAGAAACTTAGAATGCATTGCCAGAAAGTATATGTGTCAAACTGTGTACTACCTTTTGGAATTGGGTGAAAATTACCAGATTTTTTGGAAGACAGCATACCTAGGATGCAGTTCAAGATGATTTTTTTTAAGAACTGTACACAAATTAGGGATATAATATTCCCATTTAATAATGCCTTCCGTTTTAAGAGTAGAGAAATAACCTTTAGAATGAACATTTTGCACTATTTCTTTTTGCATGGCCTGAAATATAACTAGCAGTTCTTGGTCTTTAACTATTTTATATTGAAGATCATTCTTTAAAGAGTAGTTATATAAATGGGTTTTGTCTAAAGTTTGTTTGATCCCAGTAATGAATTCATCAGTTGATTGTGCCACAATAATCTTTTGGGTGACATTGTCGGTGGAAATTAACATAACAGAAAATCAACTTAAAGAATGTATATGTCTCATTAGATATTCACAGGTTCATAGCTATATTTAATTGTGAGTGAAAGTCTTCAGAGTAAAGAGCCCATCAAGCAATTTTAAGTGTTATTTTAGTTATGGGGGGTTATATTACTCACACCAGTGACATTCCTAAAATTGCATATGTCTCCTGACTAAGTGAGTAACAGTTCACGGTTGTGGCTGTTCGCTTTTGGAGGTTGTGGCTGTTCGCTGTTCGCACTGAAGTTTCTTCAGTGATATGAATTATAATACTATACTTCAAACCCTCTGATTGCTGTTGAGATACAGAAACAGGCAGTTTATACAGTTACTAGAGTGAAATCATCCCAGTGGACAAATCAGATGCAAAATATACAACTCAGCATCCTCAGAACTCAGATTTTTCCAGTCGAGATTTTCGAAGGCCAGAAGGTCTTTTGGATGATTTAAACCTCAGTATCCCTGCTAAAAATACTAACTTGTAGACCTGCTGTAGTTTTTGGAAATATTCTACAATTTAAAATTGGATGAAAATAGAAAAAAAAAGACACACTAGATATTAATCTAAAATCAAATGCCTTGTTTCTACTGGACAATAACTATCCTGAGCCAGAATGGATATGTGCATTTACAGATGGCTCTAGCACGAATAATGCTGCTGGTGCAGGTGCATATTGTAAACTGTTTTCACATCACGCTCCAGTGGGTCAACATTTTTCAAATTTTAATGTAAAAATTCATGCAGTCTTTTTTGCTATGTCTAATTTTAAATCTAGAATTGAGTTTTTAAGGCTATCATTCTTGTTGATTCTTAGTCGCCCATAGAAGCAACACCACTTTCTCTTGCCTCCTCTTGTGTCAAATATAAAACAAGATATCAGGCAACTAAACAGGAACAGTAAAACAGTATAATTTCAGTGGATATCACCCCACATAGATATTAATGGTAGTGAAAAAGCAAAGAGCAAAGAGACGGCAGAGAGACGTACAGAGTTATTTATTGGCAAATAGACGTACAGAGTTATTCATTGAACAGAGTTCTATTCCTTTGTATTCTCTTAGAAGTATTCACGAGAATCTTCTACCAGCTTATAATGATTATCAATTAAATGGAAGAGTAAACTCTGGGAAATTATCAGGAATGACTGCAATGAGTTCAGTCGCAGGCCACATAGAGAGGCTGTGGCTAATTTCAGATTGAGTACAGGGCACGATTGCTTAGCCAAACATCTCAGCAGAATAGGCATATTGACTAATAGCCAATGCCCTAAACAGACACCATGGATAAGCACAACTTGCTCATCTATCTGGACCTTGACCTTAAATTACAACATAGTGGTGACATTCTCCTGCTGTATTGAATGACCTTATGTCTTGAACACACCATTGCTTCACCTCTAATCACTGAAGATTTTTCATCATGAAATTTTTATGTCTTAATCTTTTGGTAAAGAATTGAATTTTAGTGCTCTAATTTTTGTTTTTAATATTTTGGTGATGTAATTTTGAATTACTGTTTTGTTTTTGTGAGTGGCCATGTCACATTTTGTTCCAGCTAAATAATATAGAAATTTTTTAAGGGATTTAGTGATGAATAAGATTTCTAATTCATAACTGAAGTATTTCTCTTCTTGGATGTAGTTTTCTTGGGGTATAGGTCTTTTTTGTCCTTACCATTTCAACGTGGCCATTTCGCCATCAAGACATATTTATCTTTACTTGACTGTATTTTATCTTGTCGTATTATACTTGTATTAAATTTATTTAGTTTAATAATTCTGTTTACCTTTTGTATATATTTAATAAAAGTTGTTTTTAATATATTAATATATATAGATATTTACAAGTACGAGATATAAAGAAATTACACATAGTTGGAAATTATGTCAGTCAAAGAGAACTGGGGCTAAACTTCTGACATAACAGAAGTTATTATCTATTTTAAAATTATGCAAATACAATATTTACATCATTCATTAAAATTTCTTGAAATTTTAATCTGCTAGTTCAGAGAAATCACTCATAGAAGCAGGAAATTCACATTTTTATGAAATCTGAATGGAAAACAGAATTACTTTGGAATCTTGTCAGTACCTTACTTTCTTAAAATTAATATGTCATGTATAACGGTGTATTTGTATAAAACTGTACACAGAAACATTTTACATGTATTTATATTTATATATATAAAATGTTTATTAAATAGAATTAAATTTTTAAATTAAACATAATTTAAATCAACTTATTATAAAAGGACAAGATATAATACAGTCGTGTAAAGAAAAATATGCCTTAACAGCGAACTCGCCTGAGAGTGAAACGCCCACGACGAATAGTCTCATTCCCGTTTTCTTGTTCATATACCGTCT